CTGCGCTCTAGGGAGCAATCGCGAGGTATACAAGAGGTTGTATTCGATAGAGAGCTATAGAGTCTACTTGCGTGGTGTTTATTTACTTGTCGGAGAAAGGTTGCACCGAGTGTCTGAGCGCGTCGTCTGGGCGCCGCTCAGGCCTCGCACAGATGCCGGGTTGCAGAGTAAGACCTGGCGTCTGCTGCTTGACCGAGATTCCATCGAGGAGCTATCCAAAGGGCGTTCAGCCCGTTACATCTACCTCTACTTAGGTTTTAGCTAATCTAACCCTACCTCTACTTAGGTCTTAGCTAACCTAACTCTACCTCTACTTAGGTCTTAGTAACCCTACCTCTACTTATGCTAAGGAACTTTAGTGTAGGTAGAGGTAGGAGTAGGGCTAGGTATTATATAAGCTAACCTTACCCCTACTCTACCCCTACCCATTCGCCAGTCTAATACTACCTTTCCCTAACAGTGGCCCACACCCCTGGCATAACAAAAAAGGACACACTAGAGCTTCCTGCTACCATAGAGCCTATTTGCTACCTACCCCTTATTAGTGGCGCACAATCCGATTGACCTCACGGTGTAGAGGTAGCATCTCAATTTCTCTATCTACCTTGACATTTGTCATTCTCACATGCCTTTTTCAGCCAAGCAAGAGGTAGCGGCCAAATCCATCAAAGGCCAATAGAATTCCGAGTTTACAAATTCATTTCTGGCCGCCATGTGCAGGGCTCCTAGTATCTTACATGCAACTATGCTAAGCTTTTTCGCTTGTGCATGGTTGGGGATTATTATATCTGACTATTTAAGCGCTGTCTAGCTTTGCACGGTTCACGTGCTGATATCCGTCATGAAACATCTTCCCGCCTAAGGCCCGGCCAAACTTTTAATCGGAATCATCCGATAGCGTAAGTACAGAGAACATCTGTTCGCCGAATGCGCTCTTGAAAACAGGTATGCTTTTCTTCGTCATCCACACTGTCAACACCGGTACCTTTCTCACTAGCGCCTTGTCTTTCCTCGCATCGGTCCCAAGAGTACCGCGCTCATCTACGTCCATAGGCTCAAACGCCTCCTCTTCTTCCGGCGTATCTTGAGCCTCAGCATCCTCACTCTTTTCGTTCCCCTCCGTAGCTTTAGTTTTCCGCTTGACCTCGACGCTCCAAAGCATCGTGTACATGGCCCACGTCTCCACGTCCCCGTTGCCCTCTTGCTCTTTGCCAGTCGGTGCGACAATCCGTCGCACCATGTCTACGATTCCTACCAGCTTGGTGGTACCTTCGCCTTGCGCTGATACTGCTATAACAACATCTTCCTTGTTCAACGCTTTGGGCAGCTCAATTGTAGATGCGGCGTCCTTGTAGGCCCCCAGGTACGTCTTTAATCGATTTATGCCGGATTTGACATTCTGGTTTTTCGAGAAGACGACTGGTACTATGTTCTTCGTGCTTTGTAGGCGAGCTTGGTTTTCGAGGAGTTTGAGGAGGTCGGGAGGTAGTCGTGTCCAGGGCTCGTACAGCGACGGATGTATGGTAGGCGGGGAGGGTTGCGACTGTTGCGATTGCTTCTTTTCCGTGTGCGCAGTGCCGTTCTGAGCCTTTCGCTTCTTATTTGGGACCGGAATTTCTTCAGACGCCCCAATTATTGGTAGTGTAGGGCCCTCGCTCGAGTATGGTGGTGTCGCTGTGATTGCAGTGGTGTTGGCGTCTCTTTCGGATGAAGACGTGAACATCTCGCTCATGCGCTTCGGTTTCGCCATGTCTGTTACTCTAGGAATTGTCGCATCGCCGGCAATCCCAGTTTCATATGAGTATTTGGTGTGGTTGCCGATTCATGGGCAAGGGCGCAGCGACGAAAGTTGGGAGAGCTTGACGCGCCAAAATCTCAGGGCGCGCCGGCGATAAGGAACAGCCGTGCGTTCTTATCGCCGGCCAGTGCATGCTCGTCATCATGCCTGGCTGTCCAGATCCACATCACGTACACCAACATAATCAGTCAACCTTTAATTGCGAAACACGGGTATTCCAACGGTGTGGATGTATTAGCGCATCATGGATGATATAGCGTCCGAGTCTCAAGTCTCGACAGATCTCTCGATGCAAGAAGCCTGTCAAGACAATACCGCGTGCGTTGCGCTGAGGAAAATCACGAGCTTGGATCCACGACTGACCTAATTTAGCAACCCACAAGCCAGCCCAGACTTGGGTCTTGTGCATCTTCCGGCCGAGATCCGCGTGATGATATACGAATACACGTTTGCCAATCAAACTGTTCACATTCATCCCAAGGCCGCCGATCCCGTTGGAAACCTCTACCTTTTGCGACGCCATGGGCCGCGGAAATACCAGCCTGTTGCCTCTTTGCTCATGACATGCCGCCTGATTCGCAATGAAGCGGCACCAACTTTCAATGCGCTTGTCATTTTCGATCTAACTCCGTACTACAATTGTATGGCGGCTGCGTACGAGCTGGGACCAGACATGTGCCAGACCATCAAGGCCATACGGGTCGAGCCAAGGCTTGCGAAAACGCTCTTTGCAGGGCTCAAGCAAGGCTTGACGCCGAATACACACTATCAGCATCTTTTGCCTTCGCTGCAGCATGTCTATATCCAGGATGGCCCGCTTTTCGGCGTCTTGGCTTTAAGTCATGGGCTAGCCGTCAGGGCCTTGAGGCATTATTTTGGACATGAAGATTTGCAAGTTCACTTTACTGGGTGATTTTGAATAGTCTCAGTAGTTGGTACTTGGAACCAGGATACTGGATAATAACGCCCGGGTATGCACTTTTGGTGTCGTCCGTCAACTATCACATGCTTTGTAGTCACTGCTACATCAAAGGCGATATGGTCTCATTGAAACCTTGTCAGCTATTCAGCCAGCGAAGGACCGGAATATCTACTCTTATTGGCACTCCTACAATAAGATCTACACATACTTGATCAGCGAGATCAAGTTTCGCTCCGACTTCCTTAGGTTGTAGCCTTGTCGCTACCCATTCATACATCTTGCAAGACGAAGGGAGACATCGATAATAATAAAAAGCGCGTTGTTAGAGACAGCATGAACATAATCAGAACAACTTTTGGGAAAAAAAAACAGCCATCTCTGATCTTGCATTGAACCAGGAGAGAAACAATCAACCCAAAGCCGATTCCACTTCCCGACTATTGCACAAAGACGTAACAAATATCCCCACACTCGCCATGACCACCTTCCTCCACGCAAACCCAAAGTGCTTAGAATCAGCATCTCAACCCTCCCATACATAAAACACACGTCCTTTCTCTTCTCCCCAAACATCTCCCAGAACCTCGCACCCTCAACCTCCGCATACTGCAAAACCCCTCACACCCTCCGATAAATCGCCGCATCAATCCCCAGCGCAGCACTCATAACCTTTTTCGTCCACTCACTGACGGGCTGCAGCGGCTTGACCGTATCGCCCAAGTCGTTGTCAGCGCTGAATTCATGGATAGCTAGAAAGGACAGTTGCTGTTCGTTACTATGCCCACTACTGCCACTTCCACTTCCACTTCCATTTCCATTTTCACTTCCGCTGTTAGTCCCGTTATCGCTGTCGCTGCTGCTATTCTCCTGCGCAACAAGCAAATACCGACACGTGCGGCGCCACCCGGGCTGCAGCGACATGTGCTCGTTGTGCTCGGAGCGGTACCAGGAATCGAGTTCTGCGGCGCCGTCGGGTGGGGGCTGCATGAGGGCTAGGAGGATGGTGTGGGCTGGTGTGTTGGAGTCTGTATGTAGTGACGAAGTATCAGCCTTTTGTCCATGTCCATTCTTTGAGTAAAGATGTAGGATTTTCCTGTTTCGCTTCGTTGATGAATATTTTTTTTCTTTCTTTTTTTTCTTTCCCACCCACTTTGGTCTCTCTTTTTCCCTTTTTTTTAGCTTTTTTTTCTTTTGGTTTACTGATTCTTTTTTACCCGTTTCTCTCGAATCGTTTTATGTTTTTTTTTATTCTCTTTTCTTTAACACTTTCGTCGTCATCGTACTTTTACTTGTAATAGTATACGTCCCCCTCACCCATCCAAGCTGCGACTCTTTCTCCACCCAAAACCCAAACCCTAAAAACACAAAGACTAGAAAAAATTATAATGAAAATCAGGAAATCGAGAAATACACATACCTCCGTCTCCCCCCTTTCCCCCCGCCTTCCCATACACCTGAACTTCCTTGAAGACTCTAACATCCACCCCCCCTCCTCCACCACCACCAGCAACCCCCTGATCCGCCCAAAACTTACGCACCTGCCTCACATTAACACGCTGCACATCCGCCACTGCACTCACAACGACATGTGTTTTGGCGTAATCTGGATGCGCGGCTTTGTACCGGGTGGAAGATGTGGTGCCGAGGATGTGCGAGGTGAAGAGGAGGGGGAGGAGGGATAGATTTTCTTCTTGTTTTGCTTCTTCTTGTTGTTGTTCTTGTTGTTGTTGCTGGGTTTCTGGGGCTTCGGGTTGTTCGGGATTGGTAGTATTGGTGGTGTTGGTGTTGGTGCTGGGGGGCTGGATAAAGGAGAGGATGATGCCTGGAGTGGTAGTGCTGCTGGTGGTGAAGGTAGAGGAAAATGCCATTGCAAGTTTTTTTTATTTCAATGACGTACTGGGGTAGGTTGGGATTATATATGTTGACAAGCGGCTGTTGACGGAAATGTGTGGGTTGATTGGTATACTGTTGTCGTGGTTGAGAAGCGGGAAGACGTACATGTAGGTGTAAGGTAAGTAAGCTTGCTTTCTCCACTCCACCCCCGCCCACTTTACCCGGATCAAGTTTTCCGGCGTGGGCGAGCTGGCATAGGCGTCGGCATGGTATAAGTAGAGAAAGTGCATCTGGTATAAGATGAATGCCGAGGGTTTCGGAAAAGAAGCGCCTTAATAGGGCTCTATGCATATTTGTTCTATCTCTTTTATGTAAAAATACATCTAGCAGTAATACAGCGTAATTATATACACGCCATCTACAGCTTGCTCTTCTCAATGCGCTTAAACAAAACATCGCTATCGGGGTATGGGTCAACGGTAATGCTGTTGAGGGGGTTGAGCTCGCTGGCTCTGTAAAACATATCCTCGTACACCTTTCCGTCGGAGCGTCCCAGACTACTGTCAAGGACCCAGTCGTCGAAGCCCCAGGCATCGACAAGGCTGACGGCGTGTGGGCGGATGTCTTTGAGCAAGGCCATAACAGTGTTGGTCCTGGCAAGCATGATCTGGATCTTGCTGCAGGCGCCAGAGGCGTAGAATTCGGAGCCTTCTTGCTCGAGTGTGTGTAGGGCGAAAAGACGGAACAGCTTGGTCAAAATCTCCAAAAGGTTCTTGTCGATCTTGCCCTCCTGTTCAAACTTCTTCAGCGTGGACAGGTTGGTTTTGACGACCATGTACTGGGCGTGAGCCTTGCTCAGGCGGTAGAAATCCACAAGGAGGTCGTTCCAAGGCTTCTTGTTCTCGTCGCGGTGCTTGTGGGCCTCGAAAGCGAGGAAAGACACGCGCCAGGCAAAGGCGGCAACGAGATCGTCATCGGATCCAATAATGTCAAAGGCACAGCCAATGTTTCGGCGGGCGTGGAACTCGGAAAGAATTTGAGTCGTGTCGTTTGTAGGCTTGTCGCCCTTGAGGACAGAGCGGACAGATTTGAGCATCTGCAGGAATGTAAGCGTAGTTCAGGAGAATCAAACAAGAGAAAACTTACGTAGCGAGCCACTTGCTGGGTTAGCATGTAGTTGTCGCCCTCCCATGTAACGGTAGGGAGGTAGTCAGAGTACCAAGTTCCGATACCACTGAAGCTAGAGTAGCCGTGACCACCGCAGGCGCGTCGGCAGACCTCAAGTCCCTCGGCTGCAATTGAACTGCTGAGCGACTTCAGAGCACACGATGAAGCGTGTAGATCTGCGAGCATATCACTGCCAGAATTGACCTCTTCCGGTCCGGCTCCGCGCTTGCTTGGGGCGTTGTTGGCGCTGCCCTGAGCGATCTTCTTCTGGTTTTCTTTGTACATGTCCATCATGGCCTTTCCAGTAAAATGAAGGGCAAAGGTGGCGGCAAGAAGTGGCAGCAGACGGATCTGGACCATGGTGTAGTTGAGAACCGGTGTCTCGGCTTCTCCAGCAGGGGCATCGCGGTCCTGGAACTGACGGCGCACGGCACAGTAACGGGTTGCAATTGTCACACCGCGAGCGAGAACGCTGCCGGCTTGCATGACAATTGTGGAACGCACCCAGGTAAGAGTACCGTAGACGAGAGATGGCGCACCACGGCGACCAAACTTGTTGGTGTTGGGGTCAACGTGCGTGTAGCGAGCCAGCATGCTGATGTGTGGGACCTTGACCTGGTTGAACAAGAGGAAGCCATTGTCCATGGTGTTGTAGCCAAACTTGGGGCCAATGTCTCCAATGTGGATGTTCTCGAGTGGCTCATGCGTCTTCAGGTCTCGGATCTGGACGCAGAATGGGGTTGGTCCATACGATTTGCCGTCGATGATGAGCTGGGCCATGACAACCGCATGGTTGGCAGTCCTTCCCAAGGATCCAATCCACCACTTGCTGGCGGTCAGATGGGGCGAGTGGATGGTGAAGGTCTTGTCGTCTTTGTTCCAAGTAGCGGTTGTTTCGAGACCACGGACGTTGGAGCCGTGGCCAAGCTCGGTTTGAGCATAGCATCCGATGATTTTGTAATCATTGGCCTTTGTGAGCCACTTTTCCTGCTGCTCCGGGGTGCCTTGACCTTTCAGCGTGACCTTTGTATGTCGTTAGCCCATCATCAGCCCGACTCGTGACGTGGCCATACCTTGAACATGGAGTCGTGGAGGCCATATGGCCCTGGCTCACCAATGAGGTCGGTAGCCGTGTGGAACTCGTCTTGTGTCCAGTTGTGCTGCTTCTTGAGGATCCTCAGGCGCTTCTCTCTTGCGAGGGCGCGCTCGAACCTGTCTATCCTGCCCATGAAGTAGTTCTGGGACTTGTCGAAGACCTTCTCCGACTTGAGGATATCGAGCACCTTGTTCCTCCTGTCAATGACATCCTGCGTGTGCAGAAGCACCTCGAGATCTTGCACGGGCACACTGGAGCCGTCGCGCTCTGCCTTGAGCAGCTCGTGCCCCTGGATGCCCGAAGGCTTCAGCTGCTTGACCCAGTCTGGAGTTTGCTTCATTGTGATGTCTGATTGATGATTGAGGGACGGGGACGGGGACGGGGAGCGGTCTGGGGGAGTATAAGTATGGGAGCAAGATGAGCCTCGGCTGCCGATCGCGTCCGAAGGGTCCATGACGCGCTAATTCAAGTTCCGAGGTACAAAGGGCGCACGAGACGCGTGTGAGGCCTGAGGCTGAGGATTGCGCATCAGAGGAAAGCCCGAGACGGCCAACCGCCCATGGAAACAGAGCAGGCGTGTCATGCTCGTTTGCATGTGTGCGCTCGTGATAATGATAGATTGCACACAATTGTGCGGGAGGCGCTAAACCCAAAATCCCGCGCACATGTGAGATCGACGTCTGATTTGGCCAACCACGCCCATCTGCGCGGCATCTGGCGCAGCCAATTGGTTGCGAGGAGGCGAGCGCCAGGCATGGCGATTGCAGGCATTCTGATCCCATGCATGGCTCTGCGACGATGCGAAGGCGAGACGGGTTGTCGGGGAGTTTCTCATGGGGGGTGTGGGCGGCAGCGGTGGTGGCGTGGCGGGCGTGGCGGGCGTGGCGGACGTGGCGGGCGTGGCGGGCGTGGTGGCTGTGGTGGCTGTGGCAGTGGCAGTGGCAGGGCATATCGATAAGGCTGGCTGCACGTGACGCGTCGACGAGGCCCGCCGCGCACTGCCACTGCATTCGATTCAACAAGAAGTATTTCTGTTTCTGTGCGCGCCGGTGACAAAACACGTTGGGGCTACTGCCACCACTACGGCTAGCAGAGGCTAGTTGCTTTGGCCTCTACACCCACACCTGGCAGCAGGCTATGTCATGTAGGTACAAGCGTCGCCCGCCCACCGTGACACGGCCGCCGCGCTGTGGTGGCAAAACAGGCGTCATTTGGGCACATTTTTTCTCCTGGCCATGGCTGCGTAGGGCGCGCCTGTCTCCATCTATGTATGAAGATGCACTCTGGCTCTGGCCTTCTCGGGCGCACAGCAGAGGCAGAGCATGCGTGTGGGCGGCACATGCTGGCTGCATTGCATCGCTGCTGCCACCGGCGCCCGCCCGCAGCAACGCAGCAATGGACCCCGGCGCGGCATCTGGACCCTTTGATATACCGCACCCACTGCCCACACCCGACATGTCTAGCCATGTAGGTGTCCATAGCGAGGCCTTCTCCTTGGGCCGTCGGCGACGAGGCTACCGCGACCCGCTAAACCGCCCCGGTCTGGCGAAGGCGAGCGGGCACGCCCTTCCACTTCTGCCGTCGCCGGGACGAGGCTGATAAGGGCCGTTGGGCATGGGCTTGTACATGTATGGAGAGTGCTGCTGGGCGAGGCACGCGAGCTCCTGCAGCCGCCAGAGAGGGAGAGAGAGCGGCGGGCGGGCGGGCGCAACAAGAAAAGCAAGCGTCCAGGCGCCGGCGACGCTGCCATTGCCATTGCCATGCACCGCCTCGCCGGGGAGCCGAGCATGGCGGGCCCAGACACGCAGTGGGCGCGTACAGGTGTATTGGCACTGACAGGCCGCAACGCGGAACGGCCATGGGCGTGCTGAGCGCGAGGGCAGAGGGCAGAGGGCGAGGGCGAGAGCTGGTGGGGGGGAAACGGGACAGAGAATGCGCTTCCGTCATGCTTTTTGGCCTCGAAAACAGCCACAGCCCACTAGCGTGCACGGCCTTGCTGGCACTGGCACTGGCACTGGCACTGGCACAGCGTAACGGAGCGGAGCGTCACTTTCTCTGCCTACAACACCAACGCCAACCTGTTGATCCCGCCCCTGCCCACGAGCTAAAGCACGCAATTCTTTTCCCGCCCGCTTGTGCCCTGCGGCATACTCCAGCCTTGCTGCACAGCTCCGCCTTCTCTCCTTCTTTCTCTCTCTCTCTCTCTTTCTCCCTCCCTCCCCCTCCCCTCCCACCTGCTGCGGCGCCCACCGAACCCTGAATTGCTCCCCCCCCCACCACTCCCATCTGTACACCTTTGGAATTCTATGCCCCCAAGGCGGTCTGCCACGAATCTCAGACTCCCTCGCCTCTTCCCCCACGAGTCTTCCTAGGTGCCCGACAACATGGGTCAGACGCTCTCCGAGCCCGTCGTCGACAAGGTAATTGCCTCTCAATGCTGGCCCCCCGCCCCCGCACTGTGCGCTACTTGCACGCCCCTTAAACGTGGCGACGGTCGCCTGCATCGAGCTGCACCCGCCGGCGTCCGCCTCCGCAGGACGTGAAAATGTTGACATTCCGTCTCTCTAGAAATCCGAAAATGGCGATGGCGAGTCACTCATCTACGGCGTCTCCTCGATGCAGGGCTGGCGCATCAGCATGGAGGACGCGCACGCCGCCGTGCTAGACTTCAATGCCGAGGACGGCAAGCCCACGTCGGGCGACAAGCGACTGGCCTTTTTCGGCGTATATGACGGGCACGGCGGTGACAAGGTGGCGTTGTATGCTGGTGAGCAGCTGCACAAGATTGTCGCAAAGCAAGAGGCATTCAAGGAGGGAGACATCAAGAAGGCTCTGCAGGACGGCTTCCTGGCAACAGACCGCGAGATACTGTGCGGTAAGTCGATTGCTGCCACCCCTCTGACGGGTGCAGCACGCGCAGGCTGACGCTGGGCCCACAGACCCCAAGTACGAAGAGGAAGTTTCTGGCTGCACCGCCTCGGTCGGTGTGCTGTCAAAAGACAAAATCTACGTTGTATGTCGTCCCCACATGGCACAAAATTACAAGGCTCACACAGACAGGCCAACGCGGGTGATTCGCGCACTGTTCTCGGAGTCAAGGGCAGGGCAAAGCCGCTCTCATTCGACCACAAGCCACAGAACGAGGGTAAGGAAACCCGCCAGCACACAGCCATCACCACTAACAGCTTGCCCAGCCGAAAAAGCACGCATTCAAGCCGCAGGTGGCTTTGTCGACTTTGGCCGTGTCAACGGTAACCTTGCCCTGTCGCGCGCAATAGGCGATTTCGAATTCAAGAAGAGCGCCGATCTCCCTCCCGAGCAGCAAATAGTGACGGCCTATCCTGATGTGGAGATACACGACATCAACCCGGACGACGAGTTTCTGATTGTTGCCTGTGACGGTGAGTAACTAGACGTCTGTAATCGCACATTCTTTTTTTGCTGACGAGCCGCTAGGTATCTGGGACTGCCAGTCTTCTCAGGCCGTTGTAGAATTCGTTAGGCGCGGGATTGTCGCGAAGCAGGACCTGGCATCCATTTGCGAGAATATGATGGACAACTGTCTGGCTTCGAACAGCGACACGGGAGGTGTTGGCTGCGACAACATGACAATGATTATTGTTGGTCTCCTGCAGGGAAGGACAAAGGAGCAGTGGTACGAGGATATCGCAAAGCGGGTTGCGAATGGAGAGGGTCTATGTGCGCCGCCAGAGTATGGCAAGTCAGAAGATCCAGCCAAATCTCCCGAGCAGGGCGAGTAGTTCAGTTCTAATACAATCGTGTAGCCGAGTTCCGCGGTCCCGGTGTTCACCATCGCATTGACGACTCTCCTGATGACATCGACATGGATCTCGACAGCCGATTCCGACCAGGTAACAGCAACGGCGGCCGTATTATTCTTCTTGGCGATGGTACCGAAGTCTCGACGGGAGACAATGAGGCCGAAATGTTTGACCACGAGGATGAGGACAAGGACCTGGATTCGCAAGTCAACAAGTACAACCAGGCGGCCGACAGCAAGTCGCGTCAGGATCGTCAAGGCACACCGGGCCCCCAGCACGAGAGCAAAGTCCAAGTAACCGAGTCGCCATCCTCGGTGCAGACTGACCGGTCTGACGCTCCCGAGCCACAATCAAAAGAGGCTCAAGCTAATCAGCAACCTGACGCTGGCGCGGCCCAGGCAAGCAAGAAATAGCTTGTGCTTGCTTGACCTGGCCACAGCATTGATATGTGGCTCTATAAGATGAACCCCCGATGCATTTCAATATGCAATGTCTTTCTTACGAATTTTTTTCTGATGCAAGCGACGACGGGTGTTGGTTTCCTGCAGGATCAAAGTAGCGGGTCATGGAAACAAGCCTCAGGGAACGCATGCGGGCAGTGTCACGAAATGATACCTGGCGGACTAGACCGTCGCCATCCTCTATGCCTAGCTATCTTTTTACTTTATGACAACATTGGTTCAACCCTACCCTAGCACTTGTGCCTTACCTGCACCGCGGACGTGATGTGTATGTGATGACGTCATGCTGCTGTCCGTGTTCGTACCCGTGTCCGTGTCCGTGTCCGTGTCCCGCCTGAGCAAGCTCACGAGCAATGCCGTCATGGTGTGCCGCCAACTCAGCCTTTCTAATCTAGGCCTTTGTCTGAGTAAGCATGCAACAGTGACGGTGCTGCGTTGTCCCCATAGATGTTGTTGCATTCAATCCAAAGATATGGTTACTTTGCTGCTGCATCACATGCCTTGATACTCATCCGCTGACCTAGTTTCGAGACCACTTATCTAAAAAGAGATTTGACACTCAGCCTCGGAGTATAAAGTCAGTAGAATATGGTTCTAGGATGGCCTTGGTAGCTAGTTGTAGAATCAATGCTATGTATGTTTACTGCTGCAGTGGGAGGGAAATTGAGTATAGCTGTAGGAGCGGGATTTGATAATTGTATAGTCTACCGCTTATTTGCTGGTATGATCAGTATATTTGGAGTACATTATGATCGCGTAGGGTGACCTGCACTGCGAAAAAGATGGCTTGAAGTGTGGGGTTTTACAGACTATGTTTAGTTTACTGTGTTGTAGATTGAAACTTATATTAATAAGTATTCATGTAGGTTCTCACAATACTTTTATAGTAAGCAGATTATACTTCCCATTGATTCCAAAATTACTCTGACACGACTTCTTACACATACACCTCAGTGAAATGCGGGCAAGCTCTGTATGCTTTGGTGCTCGCTCCGCTTGTGCAGCATACCAATGACGCACCACACGCCACTCAGGCTGGATCGCGACTGGAACCATGCACCTCAATGCAGACATACATTGTCATGGCCGATACCAAGCACAGAACACATACGTGCTAGAGCCCGTCAATTCCAACATCTGCAACCCCGGTGGGCGTCGGTACGCGGAGCCCGGAGATAACAAGCTGTCCAGGATCCATCTCCGAACACCATCATTGTTCGTCATAGTTTGCGACGATCGTGCAAGCGTCACCATTATAGTATGACTGCAACAGTGCCGGGAATAATTGGACAGAATGATGAGCACTCGTAGAGATTCAACAGATATCATGTCGACTACCCACCCAAGCCTTCAGCACATCCTAACACCAGGCCCACCTGATTGTTATCACAATGGACCCTGTCAATCCGAACCAAAAGGCCCGAACAACGCCGCAGTATGCATTGTACCAGCGGGAAAACTTTTGGAAATCAAACGAGGGCCAAGTTCCAGTCTTCAATACGGGTACGATTTAGCTGCTACACCAGCATCTTCACCAATCAAAACTAATTTACTTTCCAGAACCCGGCAAACTCGAAGAACTAGCAAAAGAGAAACTCAGCCAGGGAGGATGGTTCTATGCCTCTTCCAATGCGGGTCAATCCCACACCCATACCGCAAACAGACAAGCTTTCTACCGCCACCGAATCATCCCCCGCATGCTTGTCGATACCAACCAACGCGACACGGCAACCGAGATTTTTGGACACAAAGTTCCTGCACCAATTGGATTTGCACCTGTGGGCATCAACAAGATCTACAATCCGCAGGGTGAATTACCTGTAGCGAGAGCCGCAGGAGCACTAGGCTTGCCTTACTGTCTCTCGACGGCCGGTTCCCAAAGCATAGAGGACGTGGGAAAGGCCAACGACCAAGGTGTGAGGAATGGCCAAGGCGAGAACGGAACTGCTGCCGGCGGGGGCGAAAAGGGTGTGAGGTTCTTCCAACTGTACATGCCGCACGATGACGAGCTTACGCGCTCGCTTCTGCAACGTGCCGTGGATAGTGGCTTTACAGCCTGCATCCTGACGCTCGATACTTGGCAACTGGGGTGGCGCCATGACGATGTCGCAAACTCAAACTACGCTTTCTACCACGGACTGGGTGCGGACCTGGGCCTGACTGACCTGGTGTTCCAGCAGCGACTAAAAGAAAAGGGCATTGATCCCACGACACAGCCAAATGAGGCCGGGGCACTCTGGATCGACAACGTCTGGCATGGACGCGCACACACGTGGGACAAGGCAGTGTGGGCAATGAACCTGTGGAAAGAGCTCAGTGGCGGGAAGCCGTTTTGTCTCAAGGGCATCCAGAGCGTCCATGATGCTAAGAAGGCGGTAGATTTAGGTTTCGACGGCATCGTCGTGAGCAACCACGCCGGACGCCAGGTGGACGGTGCAACCGCGAGTCTGGATGCATTGGAAAACATTGTCGACGGTACGTGCTCCGTATACCAATGCTACCCCTACTCTGCTAACGTGCACGGAAACAGCGGTTGGAGACAGGATATACATCATGTTCGACTCTGGCGTGCGCTCCGCCTCGGACGTCGTCAAGGCGCTTGCGCTCGGCGCAAAATTTGTCTTTGTCGGTCGCCTCTGGATCTGGGGGCTTGCCATCATGGGCGAGACGGGCGTGACACATGTTATGAAGAGCTTACTGGCTGACTTAGATATCCTGATGAATGTGGGGGGGTTCAGGAATGTTGGTGAGATATCGAGAGAGGCGCTGGAGAGTGGACCGAAGAGTTATCCGTTGATGCATACGGCTAGTAAGCTGTAGTTGAAGAATGGGATTGTGATATATATATAGAGAGAGAGGAGAGGACAGAGTGCAACTTGAGAAGCCAATTAGTATTTTTTTTTAGAAGTCTTTGTTGAAGCAGGCTACACGACTTATTGAATATATTGTATGTTGCACTTTGAATAATGATCAGACACTAATTTGAACAGTAAATGTCTCAATACGACCCTCCAGCAACAAGTTACACTATAGATTCACCTTGCTGACTACAGTGTGGTACGCATAATGTCACCCTTCATGACATGAACGACTTCATATTCATCAACACATGGCGACATGGTGCCCAATAAAGCAAGACATTACATGCCGCTAGGCCGTGATAGGCTGACCGCCGTAGGGCTGCGAGATGGTCCAAGCACTCCCGAGCAACTCCAACTCCAACCACTCCCACTCCCCTCTATGCGAAGCTTCCCCTCTCAACCCGTGACAGGACACGCGCACAATATGTTTCGTATCTGTGCGCTTCATTGATTTCGTCCTTGCAATCAATCTCTAATACCAAAAACTGCGGCGCTCACCCCCCAAATTACTACTATTGTTCGACATACAAACACGCGCGCTTGAGACCCGAAATATCGCAGCATCGATTGCCCGCCATGTCGGTCATTCTGTGCACTGGTACGTCGAGGCTGTGCCCCTTGGGAAACAAACAACTGACGCGCCAAAACAGCTGGTTATGACCACACTATTCGGTTCGCATGCGCCCCCAAGATACCACGGTCGCAAATCTGTACTGACGGCATACTAACGTCAGATTCTGGGAAGCGCTGTCGGGAATATGCTCCCGGACGATTCCTCACCCAGATTCGCAGGTCAACCGCCTTTGCATCTCGCCCGACAAACGCTATCTCGCCGCCGCCGGCCACCATACCGTTAAGCTCTACGACATCAAATCGACCAACCCCAACGCTATTCTCACCTTTGACGGCCATACCTCGAACATCACGGGTGTCGCATTCCACTGCGAGTCCAAGTGGCTGGTGACATCCTCGGAAGACGGCACGGTCAAGATCTGGGATACGAGATCAGGCAATGTCCAGCGCAACTACACCCACGGCGTCCCGGTCAATGATGTGGTCATTCACCCCAACCAGGGAGAACTGATTAGCTGCGATCGCGGTGGCAATGTGAGGATCTGGGATCTGGGCGAGAATAAGTGCTCCCACCAGCTCATTCCCGAAGACGACGTCAGCGTGGCCAGTGTAACGGTTGCCAGTGACGGTAGCATGGTTTGCGCGGGAAACAATGCCGTGAGTTGATCGTTTCGGAATGTATAGGTTTTGGAAAGGGAAGCTGACAGTTCAAAGGGTAATGTCTATGTCTGGCGTATGATCCAGCGTAGTGATACGACATCGATTCTGCCCATCTGCAAGTTCCTTGCCCACACCACGTACATTACTCGTGTTCTCCTCTCTCCGGACGTTCGCCATCTAGCTACCTGCTCTGCTGACCACACAGCTCGCATTTGGTCCGTTGATACGTCTGCTCCCCACAACGTTACCCCCACCGACAACCTTCCCTCGGCCAGCGAGCGTGACCCTGCCGCCTTTCCGCTCGAGACTACGCTCCACGGCCATCAGAGGTGGGTCTGGGATTGTGCCTTTTCAGCTGATAGTGCCTACCTGGTTACCGCATGCTCAGACCATTACGCACGGTTGTGGGAACTAGGCAGCCAGAGTATTATTCGGCAGTACAACGGACATCATCGCGGTGCCGTCTGTGTGGCTTTGAACGATACTGCCGTTGGTAATTGAGAAGAGACACGAGAAGAGCTTCATTACGCAAGAGGCATCAAGTAGATTTGCGCAAGTCCATGCATTGCATCAGCGTCGGCGTTCTGGCGGGGAAATAATATCTGGCACTGGGGTGGGAGGAATGCAAAGGCATGGCAAAGAGATTATAGTCAACTTGATCTAGGCGTTTATGGCGAAAAGGGAGGACTTTTTGCAAATTCCCACAATCTGGACTGAGGAACACACCAAGGTAATTCCATCACGTCTCGCATGAGCAAAGCGAAAAAACGCATTGCGTCGCCGAAGAAGAAAGAAAGAAGAGACACATGAAGCGAGCAGAGTCTAAACTGTAAACCATGTTCATGCTTATTTGCTCCTAGTACTTGCCATGCTGGCTTTATAATCATGATGGAATATATATCATACCAGAGTTTCTCTACTGCTTCAATAAACTGACGTCTTTGCTTGCTTTGTGGCTCTACATGCATGGAGGTGTGTGCTAGATGTACGTGCTAGATGCACAGACAGATATAGATATGGATGTGGATATAGATGTGGATGTGGACATGGATGTAGACATGGATGTGGACTAAATAAATCTACAAAAACATTCAACATTGTACATGTACATCTGAACCTGGGTGAACTCCACACTGGCTACGCAGATATATACATACATACATACATAGATATACATTGCATGTTTATTCCCCACGCTCGAATATAACCCTTACTTCCATTTACATGTACATGTACATGGAGATATCCATCCACATCAAGTGCGTACAAAGTACATAAATACCACAGAGTAGAACCTCACACCACTTCGCCCACTTCGCCCGTAGTGTCGCCTGGAAGAAAATATGGGGGTGGGGGGGAGATGGGGAGGGAGGGAGGATGGACAAAAGTAAAAGTAAAAGTAAATGTAAATGTAGGTTACAAGCACTACAGCAATAACAACAACAACAACAACAATAGCGAAACACAAAGAGGAAAAAGACAAGTACGGAAATGGGGGTATATAGATACGTTATATCGCATCAAGTATATCACATGGCTCTTGCTGCTGCAAATCAATCAACTCCAATTAACTCGAATCAACAACAACAACAACACCAGACGATACAATAAACAATATAATACAACAACAACAACACAACTCCAGACGATACTACACAACACAAGACAACACAAGACAACACAACAAGATACCTTGATGCATAGTCTCAAAAAACAAAACAAAGAAATTCATCTGCTATAGCAGTAGAAACAGCAACAGCAGTAGCAGTAGTAGCAGGAGGAGGAGGAGGAGGAGGATGTGTAACAGTGTAACAGTGTAAAAGTGTAAAGGGGGGAATTATAAAGTGTACTATTATTTCTTTCTTTTCATCTTTGTATTATTCATTGTTATTATTCTTCGTGTCTTCTTCTTCTTCCTTCTTCCTTCTTCCTTCTTCCTTCTTCCTTCTTCCTTCTTCCTTCTTCCTTCTTCATTTGCATTTCCATTTCCCGTGTCCCTATTTTCTGATTGTTTCCCTTGCATCATCATCATCATCATCATCATCACCATCTCTCTTGTTTGTTTCTTGTGTGGCAGGCTATTGATTCTGTTCTAGGCATAATAAATGCAGCAAGGATATGTGTTTATACATTCGTCATGTTCCTGATTCTTCATATTTGCTCACGATTGTGCTTGTTCTTTACGACTCGACTACTTGGTATTACTACATACTAGCACCTGCATCCCTTGATCCCATCGAATGGATTGCATACACAACAAGTCTGGCCAGCCAGGTGATTCGCTACTTTGAGATCCCAGGGATTACTAAGAAATAAGGAGAGGAAAGAAACGAGACGAGTCTGGCGGTCAAGTTGGTGCGTGTGCATTGTTCATCGGCCTAGCAAGCCGGAAAACCACGTTGCGATGTTTTTCCCGCCGCTTGGGCTGGGAGCAAAAGAGACAGGGCTGTCGGAGTCGTTGTTGGATTGACGGTCCGGTGTATTGTTGCTATAGCTACTACTGCTGGTGCTAGACTTCTCCGTCTCGCTGCGGCTGTGTATGCTGCGTTCGGGGCCCGAGGACTTTCGTGAAAGCATGTGGGTGCTGAGTGTCTTTTGAGACAATAGCGAGTCGATGGATTCAGAGGTGCGCGTGGCGGAAAACGGCGTGATGTGGCGAGGCTTTTGTGGTGGCAGAGTCCGCTTGGTGGTATTGTCATGGCTGCGGAAGTTGAGCGGAGCACTGGGAATGCGTCGGGCGAGAGACGAAGATTTTGGTGATGCAGTGTTAAAGGTGGGCAGCAGAGGTAGAGATGTTGGTGTTGACGTGGGAGGAGTATCCATCAAGGCTCCAGGAATAGTCTTTGGCAAGTCGAGTCTGGATACGTTTCTCCTTTCCATACGGTCGATTTCCTTAATTTCAACCACTTTGACTGTCGATGCAGGCGGATTCATGCTCGCTGTAGACAAGGACATGGACGTCGCTTGAGACTTCCGGGGTGATATAGGAAGATCCAGACCCGTGGTCGCTGCAAATCTCATCTGCATGGACAGCGGAACACCGCCGGGTTTAACCCAGGGTCGAATAGTGAACTGGCTTGGCGGCAGATCTAAATCTACGCATCAGCACTACACATAGTACAAAAGAGGGCTAAGAATGGAGAGTGAAGATGGTGTCTAGGCAGGGCCACCTTCATCTCCCTTAGTCTCTTCTGCATGCTCTGGTGCGGCTTCGGCCTCTGCATTCTCGCCTTCAGCGCCATCTCCTTCTGGAGCGGCGGCGGCAGCTGCCGCAGCAGCTGCGGCAGCTTCAGCCTCCCTCGCTTGCTTCTCTGCTTTGGCTCTTTGGCGCGCAGCTTCTCTCTCAAAGTTCTCCTTGCGCGCCCGCTCGTCCTTTGCTTTGCGGAGACGCTCGGTTTCCTCCACACCACCACTCTTCTTGAGCTTGCCCTCTTCAACAAAACTGCCCAGTTCGCGCTTGAACTCATCGTCGTTTCTCGTCGCAAGGTCGCGTTGTCGTGCCTTTTCAGCTCGTTCGATAGCCTCCAGTCTGCCTTCATGGTTTGGCTGCAGGGCCTTGACCTCGCCCAGGACACCATCACGGGCTTGTCGGGGATCTACGACCTTGTCCAGGGCAACTGCATTGAGCATGCTGCGACCACTGGCAGAGCGCATTCCCTTGCCGCTCTCTTTCTCGCTTTCCAGGTTTTGCTGTTTAGTCGCTTGTTCCACCAGCTCCAGCGTCTGTGCCGCCTTCTCGAGATCGTCTTGCAAGTCGGCCGCGAGTTCTTCTTGCATGGTAAGCATGTCTCGCTCTTCGCACACTGTCTGCAACTCTTGCTCCCAAATCTTGGTCCAGAGCGGCTTCTCCTTGGCCAGAATATCCTGCAACTTCTTGAGCTCTGCAGTAGCCATTGACAGATCCTTGGCTGTAGTCTCGAGTTGGCGGGGCAGAGGTCGAACTCCACGCATTACCACGTCCTTTCTCAGGTCTTCAACCAGATCCTGCAAATCATCTACCCTGTTAACAATCTTCTCCGAGTCATCCTGCAAAGCCTTCTTTCCATTGTTGATGTATGCACGACCGCTATCGCCGTCTAGCGAGGGCAGAGCCACCTTCACGGCAGTCGATTTGACCTGGCTAGCCTTTGTGCGAATCGTTGCCATGCTGGCCTGGATGTCCGAAACAAAAGACGAATATGTCTGCCGGACGACTGCTAGATCCCGGCGTAGCGCCTGCACCTCGTTGAGCTGAGTGGCGGAGGTAATCGTGCCTTCAGCAGGCGGGCCCACTGGCAATGCGCGCGAAGCCAGCAGAGCCGAATTGCGATTTGAAGATAGTGGGGCTGCTGATATGCCAGCAAGCTCTTTGGAAGTCTGTTGCTGGCGTTCAGCAACGCGCTGTATCGTAGCTTGCTGATCCTCAACGACCGTCTTGATACTCTCCACCAATTTGCTGAGGCCACCAAACTTGTCATCGATGTGATTCTTTACTTCGTCCAGCTGCTCTACGTTCAGAACGAGGACCGATCTGTCTTTGATGTCGTGAATATCCTCCAACTCGTATCGCACACCAGAGACCGGGTCTTGGATATGAATCTCGGGTAAGTCGCCATGGCGGTGCGTGTCCCAGGCAAACTTTTCGATAAAAGCCAGTTGCAAGCGAGCGGAAGAGAGTTCGGAGCCGTCAGTAAAAACATACTTTTTGATCTTGCTCTTGTACTGCAGGAATAGAGTCAGTTCTTTGCCCTGCTGGGGTGACTGCTCTGGGATAAAATGTGTGGGTTGCGGAGAGGGTGTCTTTGTCCTGTAACTGCTGCGACTGGCTGCTGCCCTGGCGTTTGTGTCTTTGGGGGGTGACTCAGTTCCGAGCTCAGCCGGCTCGGACAATGGTCCGTTGACAGTGGCACCCAAAGAAACGTGATCGCCGTCGGGGAATTTGGGCCCACCAATCTTGTCGTCTGGCGTCTTTTGGATCGGGCTGTCTTCAGGCCCGGCTTCCTGGGGCGGCAGAAAGCTCGGTGCTTTGCCTTGGCTGCTTTCCTCGGAGATGCGCCTGTCGTTGGGTTGATCAAAAGAGAATTTGGTTTCGACGGCTGGCCGCTGTTGTGATCCTGGTTGGTTGGACCGCTGCCGGTTGTGCATGGTAGACGCTCTTGTCCGGACTGCATTCATAGACTCGCGGACATCCCGACCCCTATTCGGTATGGGCGAGTTCTGAACTGGCGGAAGCGGTATGCCGTTTGTACCGAGATGCTTCTGAATCTGATATGCGGAGAATCTCCGCGAAGCCCTCCGCTCTAGCTCACCACCTCTTTGCAGCGCAGCCAGTGCATCTTCCTGGGGCGGCGTGGGCGGTGGTGGCGGGAAATCGGCAGGGTAGCTGTGCTGTTGCTGTTGTTGTTGTTGTTGTTGTTGTTGTTGCGGGGGCTCTGGTGGTTTGGGCATGGCATCGTCCGAGGGGTAAGGAGTGGCGGCCGACGTTTGCTGGGCGGTAGCACTCGACATGGAAGACGAGTCGGTGGACAGCTGACTTGAAGCGGTGGAGCGGCTCGATTTTGGGTTGGAGGGAAGGACGTCGTATTTGCTGGGGGATGCGCGGCCTCCGCTTCCACTTCCGCCTGCGACTGAGGATGAGCGTGGGGGCAGGTCAGGCCCACCAAACGACGGGCTCTCGCCTCTCGAAGGCAGTCTCTGGCTCTGTGAACGGGGCTGCTGCGTGTCCTCGACTTCACCCGAGCTGCCCACGCTGCCCTGCCGGGGGCTGCCGCCTCCGTTGAGCGAGCCATCTCTTCCTGTGCGCTGACGTAACCGCTGTTGCTTCTTCTTGAGGCCGTGGAGTAGGTTGATGATGATGTCTCGTATGCGCGGCAGGAAGTTGTCGAGGCTCGCCTGCGAAGCTTCCTGGCTCAGCGTCTCTTCCAGGATCCCGCGCAGCAGTTCTGGAACGTTTCCGAGGTCGTTTGTGTCGACGCCGATGGCATTGAAGGCGCGTGAGGCGATGTTGAACTCATAGCCCAGGCGGACGTAGACGTCGGAGACCTCGCTTTCGGTGGCGGTGCCGCGCGACCAGAGCGTCAGTGTTTCTGCGTCGTGTCAGCACATGTGATTGTGTGCGTGGGGGCGGGCGGGCGGGCGGCGCCGACTGACCAAGGAGCTGCTTTGTCGCGACGAGCAGATGTGTGACGGACTTTTCAATCTGGGAGAGCTGCTGCTGGGGCTGCATGGCACGAGGCGTCAGCGGGGGGGGGGGCCAGGGGCGGGGGCGTGGGCGTGGGCGTGGGCGCGAAGTGCGGAGCGTCTACGTACATTCTTGGGCGCACGCCGCGACGAGGACGACGAGCCCTGGGACGAGCGCATCGAAGTCTGCTCTTCCGCCATGGTGAGGAGGGCGTGGGGGCGCGGATGTGCAGCAGCAGCAGAGTGAGTGACGGGGAGGCCGGGGGGGAGGCGGGAGGCGGCGCAAGGGAGAGCACAGCACGCTCTGGTGGTGGTGTTGGCGACGATGTTGGGTGCTCCGACGTCTGATGCCCGCCAGCGCCAGAGCCAGAGCCAGAGCTAGCACGAGAGTGGCTGGGGCTGCACGTGGCGCCGTCTCACCTCCCGCCCGCCACGGCACGCCGCCTCTGCCCCGACACAGTCCCAGCACCCATCCGACTCTCGTGCGCGTGCTTGTGCGCTGCAACACTGCGCACCGCCGCCATTTGGTATTTTCTTGGGGGCTGGGTGCTGGGTGCTGGGGGCTTGCGGTAGGCTGTCTGCACCGCCGGGCGCTGCACGCGGGACCGTGGCCAGCTGCAATGGCTCGTCGCGTATCGACACACACAAAGGAATGCCATGCAAAACAAGAGCAGCCAGGAGGAGGCTGCCGCGGCACGCTGGGGCAGGGTCCCATTCAACATGGCATGCTTCTTGTTCTTCGCATTCTTCTCCTTGTCCGCCCTGCTTGCCCTGCTTGCCCCCTCCTTGTTCTCGTCCTGCATGGCTGCGAACCGTGTCCAGGTAGCGTGCACACATGGCATGCAGCAGTCGGGCTGCTACGGCACCCACGCTGCACACTACCGCCTGCCACCGGCCCATCTTCGCGCTACTAGTAACTCGAGGCACGAACAGGTGTTTGCCCCGTAATCCCTCCCCCTCGCATTGCTGCAAGCGCCGTGGTTTGGTATGCGCACCCCTAGGGATGCCAGCTCTCCAGAGTGAGGCGCCAGGTGCTGGCTACGACGGCAGAAACATGCTTGGCGACAGAGAGGGTCGCAGGTAGCCGAGACAGAGGGCGGATGCAGAGAGAGACGGAGAGACGGAGAGACAGAGAGAGCGCGCGTTGGGCGTGGGTGCCGCCAATCAAGTCGCAGTGTTGCATCGGTTCGTGGCCGTGGTAGTATCGTCGCATACATAGACGCGTCTATGTAGGTAGAAAGGATTAGTATAGTGCTAGCAGGCGTGCTTCAACAAGCGCCGCCCTCCCTCGCCCGCGGCCCTCCCGTGGGGACAGGAGACAGGGCCACCGCGCGCCATGATGCGCCAGCCACTGCACCACGCCGCTCCCTCGCTGGCCGTCTTGCCCAAGGGCTGGCGGTGCGGTGCGGTGCGGTGCCGCCGAGCATTCACGGCTACTGGCTCGGGCGGGCTTAGCTCCCGCTGGTGTTTCACCCAGGCGATCAGGCTTGGCGTTGCACCTCAGCGGCGACGTCTGGCTGGGAATTCGGGCACAGCCTCCTATACCATCGCGCGACTCGGCCGCTCGCTCGCCCGCCCGCCCGCCTGCCCGCCTGCCCGCCCGCCTGCCTCTCGCACCCTCGCACTGCCCGTCCGCCGCTGTGCCTCTGGCAGCATTGAGTGCCCTGTGCCGCCCTCAGCCCTCTCCCCCGAGCTGGAGCTCCCACGCCTCCTCGTTGCACCCTCCCCGCGCCCGTCGCTCCCCGTCCCTCTGCCTCCACATCACCACCTCCGCCTCCGCCTCCTCCTCCTACACCACCACCACCACCACCACCCCCCCCCCCGAACACCCGCCCCCCGACCCACGCCGCCCCCCGAGCCCGCGCACGCCTGGCCCATCCATGTCCGCTGCCGCTGCACCGCCCGCACACTCCTCCAATGCTCTGAACCCTGTCTCCAATTCCGGCAGGCAACTGAAGATGAGCACAGCTGGCAAAGCCGCTATCGACGCACAGCGAAAGCCAGGAAGCCCCAGCGAAGGTAGCCACAGGTAAATTGCCCCCTCGACCGCCCTCAAACACACACGCACACACACGCACACACATACACACATACACACTCTCGACCGCCCCGCACCCTGCCCCTGCTTCCCACCCACCCCGTATCCTTTCTGCCGCCCGCTACACGTCCAGCTCGCCCGACACCGCTACCGCAATGCGGGATATACTCGTGTGACGTTCCGGCGGTCACATGGGGCCCGCGGTGCGACTGCGCTGGCCACTAGACCGCCCTCTCTCGCCTCCCGCAACCCAATGGCCTCGTGCGGCCGTGCCCTTGGCTCCGATAAATTCGCTGCCCTCTGCGCCTGGCCCAATGCTGACTTGGCATCGTGTAGGAAGCAGCCGGCCAAAACGGCATGGACCCAGGGCACCAATCCCTTCACCCAACGACCGACCAACCCTGCCACCTCCAACGGCGTCGCAAGCTCGCCTAAGCCCTCCTCGACGGCTCCGTCGGGCGAAACCGCCTCCCCAATGCGCCATCTCAGCGACCGTATGATGTACCTGCTGGCCAACCTCACTGTAAGTGATGGGCCCCTCTCCATCCGCAGCCCGAGAACACAGCTGACGGCCACGCTCAGGGTCTGCCGGGCATCATCACACTGAAGAATGGCGAAAAGTACTCTGGCGTGCTTTCGGGCACCTCATTAGACCCTAGCGAGCTGCGCTATGTCTTCAAGATGGTCAAGAAGCTCATGCCCGCCGTCAATGCCCAAACCAACGGCGCGGGCGACGCCTCTGACGACTACGTCGGCGCTGGCGACTACCACGTCATGTCCTTTGACATGAGTGACGTTGCTGATTTCAACGTCAACAACGTGGTGCTGGACAAGTCGCACGTCAAGGGCCAGAATGGTATGTGCCCTGCACGCATGCTTTGTCAACGCCAAACTCACGGTTGCAGGCACCTCGGGCTTCCGTACCGATACCGACATCTCAGGCAAGATGGCCATCCGCGAGCGCGATCTGCAGAAATGGGAGCCGACTGAGGTCGACCCGAGCCTGACGCTCGAGCCCACGGGCCGCACGACTGAATGGGACCAGTTTTCCACCAACGAGCGCCTGTTTGGCGTCAAGAGCAACTACGACGAGACCTTCTACACCACCACCATCAACAAGAACGACCCGCAGTATGCCGAGAGGGCCGCCCGTGCTGAGAAGATTGCCCGGGAAATTGAAGGCAGCAGTGCAACCAATGCCCACGTCCGCGAAGAGCGAGGCGGCTTCTCTGCTGCCGACGATAATGGAGACGAGGAGGACAAGTACAGTGGAGTGCGTCGAGACTTTCCGGCTCTGGCAAGCGGCCAGCCCAACCGGTACACTCCGCCTGCACGACGAGCTCCTTCGGCTCAACCAACCGTGCCCGGGGCTCCCGTGGATCCCGCCATCATTTCTTCGTCTGTCGCACGGCCCGGCTCGCAGGCGGCGCAGCGTGCTGCAAGTCCAGCCACGCCAGCGGCCCCTGCAGTGGAGGCGGCCAAGACCCAAGAAGCCCCCAAGGAAGCTCCCAAGGAAACGCCCAAAGAAGTCAAAGAAACTCCAAAAGAGGCTCCTAAAGAGACGCCCAAACCCGTATCCAAATCAGCCGAGGCGCACAAGGCTGTTACAGAACAACTACAAAAGTCCAGCAACAACATCAAGTCTGGCGTGGCTGCTATTCCTCCTCGAAAGGCAGGACGGCCGCACGATGCCACTACAAATGTGGAGCATGATCTCCTTGATTCTTTCAAGCAGTTTTCGGCTGCCGAGAAACTGCGCATCTCCGACCGCCAGAGGGCGTTTGCTCGCGAGAACAAGGCAGTCAAGTTGAATGACCTGAAGAAGTTTGCGCTCAACTTCAAGTTGAGCACGCCAGTCCCGTCGGATCTGGTTCCTATACTCGCCAAGGACGAGACGAAGCAGCAAGCTATTGTCGACAAGGCTAATCGTCAAGCGCTCGAGCTGAAGGCTTCACCGCCCCCGAAGCCGTCGAGCAGCAATCCAGACCCCAAAACTGCCGCACGGTCTTCTGCTAAACCCGAGTCTGCCCAGGCTTCTCCCAGTACGAACGTGGATCGCCAACCGAGCCAGCGTCCACGACAGGGACAGCCGCCCTATGCATCTGCTAGCATGCGGGCTTCCCACCAGAACATGAACATTCCTCCACGAAACCCGGGCATGCTTAGCACGCGTCTCCAGATGAACCACCAGCAGCACAAACAGCAAGGCGCTTTGCCATACAACGGTGTACCTCAGCCCATACCAGCCCAAGATAACCGGATGCCCCCTACCGGTCCCTCGCAACCCTCTAGCGGCACTCAAACGCCCTCTAGCGTGTCCAGATTCAACGTTCGTGCACATGAGTTTAAGCCAAACCCAGCAGCGAACACGTTCCAGCCCGGAGGAAACCCAAGCGCCAGCTCCAGTCCTCGGCCAAATTCATCCCGCCAAGAAGTTCGCAAGCCGCCCGTCACCAGCTTCTTTACTGGCCAACGGCCGAATGTCAAATCGCTAGATGGTCCAACCACGTTCAATGCCGTTGGACGTTTGGAGAAGGAGGCGCAAGAGAACGAAAAGTCTCACTATTCCGACATCTCGCCTCCTTACAAGACGTTCCCCACATGGGACTTTCCTTCGTCTAATTCCAACAAGGGATATGAGCAGCTATTCGAACATGCTCCTCCAGCGGCGCCATTGGCAGGACCGCAACATGTCATGGGCGGCGGACCCATGCCGCACCAAATACCTCCCCATCTCCAAGGCGCCCAAGGCATGTCGCAAGGACCGACGCCTCAACACACACCCCGCGGCCCCCCAGTGCAGCCGCATCTCGGCCAGAACCCACACCAATTCGAAGCCCCGCACATGTCATACTCGCATTCACAGTCGTCAGTTCAACCTTCGCCGCGACCCATGGCACCTTTTATGTATGGAGCTCAGCCGCAGCAAATGCCGGGCTACCCCCAGCCTGTGCAAGTTCCTCAATACGGAATGAGCCCCAATGTTCAGCACGTGCCTATGCGAAACGCGCAAGGCGGCCAGTTTATCAACCCTCCTGGTCCGGCGATGGGAGGCCAAATGATGACGAACCAGCCTTCAAACGGGCCCTTTATGGGAATGCCAGGTAACCCGCAAATGCAAATGTACTCTCCAGCCCCAGGCCCTGCATACCCACAATACCCTGGACACATGCCTGGGCCTGGCGCCAACGGATTCCCAAGCCCGAGACCGGGTGCTCCGATGATGAGCCACCAAGGATCGCAACAAGGCCACCACCAGCAACCTCACATGATGTACATGCAACCCGGGGCGCCAGCGCCTCAAATGTACCAGATGCAGCCAGGGACTAGTAAGTTTACCGACGAAAGATGTTGTGCATAATCTAACATTGTGCCAGTGGCTCCAATGCGAGGCCCTTACCAACAACCATACCAGGGTGGCCATTACGGCTCACCTCAACAGCACCCTCAATTCCCCCAGCAACACCGCGGCACCCCAAGCGCAAGCTACTCTCAACCGATGATGCAACAACACTCGACGGGCCCCCAGGTCCCACCGGCCGGTCCTGCCAACCATGGCCCAGAAGCCATGAGCGAAAGCAAATGAAAGCCCCGATGATGATGTTTCACATCTCAACTCTAGTGACATGTCGCTGGGGTTGCTTCTTGAGCCCCTTTATATGCTCCCTTCACTTGATTTAGTTAATTTTGCTATGCGCTTAGCGTGGATGGGGTCGGTATTCTCTCTAATGAGTGGCTTGACGCATAGCGACCGGCGTTGGCAGGGTACGGGAGTTGCATAAAAAGCTTACGGTGTGGGACATGGCCTTGGGGGCTATGAACACGCAGCATGCATAGGACAAGAGACATGAGCGGGGGGGGGATAAGAAGGCTACGACAGTTCGTTGTTTTGAACGCGACCGCAACATGCTATGAGAGTTGAGAGATGCTTCGGCTTTTTTCGACCATCAGGGGATATGGGGAGGTTGGGGAAGTGGACCTTTAAGCTAGCAAAGCATGCGCCTTTCAGTGCATGCTTCTACATTCGTGTATCAATGCAACTAGCTTCGATAACTCTTCAAACTTTCGCCTCCGCGTTCCTGTTACCCATGTGTTCCAGAAACCTGCTCCGACATGATGCTCTATTTGCTCTCCCGGAACTGGGAAAGCTGGAATAGGGAGTCTTGTGCAGTTTTGTGCCCTACTTGGCCGTTTTGCTGGATACAGTGAAATGTTCTCTATTCTTCAATAATCTTTTTCTTCGTGGGGGGGGGGGGGGGGGGGGGTTCCAGAAAATATCATGGGAATAAAACTTAAACTCAACATACCTTCCCCTTGGCTTAAAAACGACTGTTTTATCATACGTGCCGAGTACGACTTGGATAAATTGAGACTTGTTTTTTTTTTTTGAGTTTTGTTTTTGTAGCCTAAGTACATATCTACTCTTATATCTATGTATCTACACTGATTGCTCCTCTTTCGTTTAGCACTTCTTAGGACAAGTCTGTTTCCCTGCTACGTATTTATAAAAGCAAAAGGTATGTAGCGTGTTATGGAGAGAAAATCGCTAGTTTTAGACTTGGGTTACGCACTGGACCCACCGTCTCTTAGCGCGCGTCTATGTAGTGCCCGCGTGTGCATGTGCATGTGGCATGCCCGCGACTGCTCCGACACGATTCTTATTATTACCCCAGACCCGCCGCCCACTTACATCTGTGTCTTGCGTTGCGGTGCATGGTTGCGCCTCATGCCGACGTAGAACTAGACAGCATGAATGACGACGCTGCTGCCGAACCACTGATCCCCAGTTCGCGTGCCCGCGACCTGCCGCCGAGTGATGGGCGCAACCGCTACAGCAGCGATGACGCGCACGCGACACAGCGGGGAGACGACGAGGCTGACGAGACGGCGCTGCTGTCGCCGGGCGTCTTCATCTGGATTCTGACCATGTGCGCTGGCGTCAGTGGGCTTTTGTTTGGCTACGAGTGAGATCCCCGGTCTTGTCCTTTACACACTACCTACTATGACTACGACTGTGACTATGACTACATGTACTAATACCATGCTAGCACCGGCGTCATATCCTCGACCCTCGTCTCCATAGGCACCGACCTTTCGTCCCGCCCGCTTACCACGCTCGACAAGAGCCTCATCACATCGTGTACCTCGTTCTTTGCGCTGCTTGCCTCGCCGCTCACAGGCGTCCTGGCGGATACCTACGGTCGCAAGACGGTGATACTCAGCGCAGACGTTCTCTTTGTACTCGGCGCGCTATGGCAGGCGGGAACGAGCAGCGTGGGCGGCATGATTGCTGGCCGCTCGATTGTCGGGGCTGCCGTCGGAAGCGCCTCGTTTGTCGTGCCGCTGTATATTTCAGAGCTGAGTCCGAGTCCGTTCCGCGGCAGACTGGTAGTAGTCAGCACGCTGTTCATCACCGGCGGACAGGTCGTGGCGTATGTGGTTGGCTGGCTGTTTTCGCAACGGCTGCATGGCTGGCGGTGGATGGTTGGGCTGGGTGCGCTCCCCGCGGCCATCCAGTTTGCAATGCTGCTCTTCCTGCCGGAGACGCCGCGGTACCTCGTCAAGGCTGGGAGGACGCAGCAGGCGCGACTAGTGCTGGGCAGGGTGTACAAGAGCGAGGAGGGCGGAACCAAGTTGGTGAATGCGGTGCTGAGGCGCGTGGAGCGCGAAATCCAAGAGGAAGAGGATGCGGCGGGTTTACGGGGTGCGCCCGAGTCGGGCAAGACTGGGTGGAAAGCAAAGATGGAGAGAACCAAAGACAACTTTTCTCAGTTAATCCTGATTGGGGGAAATCGAAGGGCACTCATCATTGCCTGTATGCTCCAGGGCTCCCAGCAACTCTGTGGTTTCGTAAGTGTCCTTGAATTTATGAGAAAATCACTTTCCCCCCATCAACACAACAATGGACTACTAACCCACGCGCTTTGTCTCCCTCCCAGAACTCGCTCATGTACTTCTCCGCCACCATCTTCCGCCTCGTAGGCTTTGAATCCCCAACGCTTACCTCGCTCTCTATTGCAACTACAAACTTCGTCTTCACCCTCGTGGCATTCCACTACATCGACCGCATCGGCCGCCGCCGCATCCTGCTCTACTCCATCCCCATCATGGTCCTTGGCCTTGGCCTCTGCGCCCTCGCCTTCCGCTTCGTCGACCTACCCGCGTCAGAAGCATCATCATCATCATCATCGCACCTCCAACGCAGCGCCACCAGCCCCAAATCCTGGGCCCTCGTCATCCTCATCTCCATGATCACATACGTCGCCGGCTACGCAATGGGTCTGGGAAACGTGCCCTGGCAGCAATCCGAGCTCTTCCCGCTCTCGGTCCGCTCTCTCGGCTCCGCGCTCGCCACAGCAACTAATTGGGGCTCTAATACCCTCGTCGGCCTGACCTTTCTGCCCCTCATGAACCTCTTCACGCCCACAGGTACCTTTGCTCTGTATGCGGTTGTCTGTGCGCTCGCCTGGGCTATCGTGCGCAGGATTTATCCTGAGACGGCTGGCTTGGGCCTCGAGGATGTGCGTGGGTTGCTGGGAGAGGGGTTTGGCGTGGGAGATAGTGTGAGGAGGTTTGAGGAGAGGAGGGCGAGGGCGAGGGGGAGGTAGGGCTGTATTTTTTTTTGTGAGGGGAGAGGGGGGGTTAGGGAAATAGTATATGTGAATTTACGCTTTGTGTGTGTGTGTGTGTGTGTGGTTGTTGTGATGCTAGATACTTTTGTGACATTGACTTTTGAATAAATAGGCACTTTTTTTACTTTTGTGCAAAATGTGAAGATGGGAAAAAAAAACTCTTCTTGTCCTCCTTCCTCCCCCCCACCCCCTTTTGGATTTTTCTTTCTTTTTTTCTTTGTTAACTTGTTCCTCTAACTTGCCTACTTACCTACTCACTTACTCACTTACTCACTCACTCACTTACTCCGAATTCTAACCTTGCACACTGATTCCCCACATCTACCACACCTCACACATTACAACCTTACAACCTTACAACCCCCCGCACACTCACACACACACACCAAACATATCTACAATAAAACTCACCCTCCTCATCGCGCTAACAACAACATTCCCCCTCGCATCCACACTCCCCGCTCCATCCACCTTATCCCCGTCGTCGTCGTCGTCAGCGCCGCCAGATGCACCTGCCGCCGCGCAGATGCTGGATAACATGCTGTTTCCCGATAACGATCTTCCGGCTGGTGGGATCGCGTGTGGGGCGCTGACATGTTGTTGTGTTGTGTTGTGTTGTGGGGTTTATGCTGGGGTTTGGGGATGCAGCGTGTGAAGGGGGGCGTGGAAAGGGAAGTGGAAGTTGGAAGTTGGAATTTACAGAAATGTTTGGGAATGGAGTTGTCATACTTCTACGGGCTTTTGGTGTTGCGTCTCTATTTACTTGACTGGTTGTATATACGTGTGTGTGTGTGGCTTGGTGATGAATGTGCTTTTGCCATGCATGCATGCATGTACATACATATTATTATTATTATTATTATTCTAGTTTAACGTCCTTTTTCAGCCCGAAGGGCTATATAAGACGTGTAGGGTTTTTAGGCCTACAAGTATCTAAGTAGGTTGTTTCTAGCTACAATATTTAGGAGGGGTTTTAACTAGATGAAGGTGAGGCTCGTAGCCTATTGGTTGGTAGGTAGGGGGGGGATAGGGTGGGGGAGGTGTATGGCTACCTGTTACAGGTATTACTCCTCGTTTTCTGTGTTTCCTTTGTACCAGGCTTGTGTTCCAGCCTTTGTTTCTTGAATAAAGGTAAGAGTTGCTTCTATACCCTCTTTTGTTTGAAAGAGGATAGGTAGTGATAGATCGCCTTCGCAGGCTTCTCTTAGTCCTTTCCTTTCCTCTCTATATAGATTACATCTAAATAGAATATAAGGTAGGTCTTGTATAGA